ACTACTATAATATGAACAATACAAGGTATTATTGGAAGATATCACAAAATCTCTGCCATAATAACACATATTGCTGCATCCTTTGATTAGAAGATATTCCTTTTCCAAAACAGATAGATCGCATATCTTCCTTCCTTCCTGGCAAACTTTTGGGCTGGGAGATTTTAATCAGAAATTCTGTGAAAGAAAAAAAAATTAACCAACTCATGATCCCAAATCTGTATGGGGCCTCACAGTTCTCATTACAAAGAAACATACAAAAATGCAAATGGACATTTAATAAAGTATCAAGTTTAGTCTCTTCAGGGATGAGCAGGGGAGAAAAATTTGAAATGAAGCAATTCAGCAGTTTTGTTTCTCCATTTTTTTTTAACATTGCTTGCTGTACAATCTTTGTATCTTGCACACACATTAATGAGAGGAGATTGTCTAAAAATCCCCAATTTGTTATCTTGGAGTGTCTGAGACTGAAGGTGGCCAATGTCAGAATCCACAAATTCCTAGCTCACACTGTGATTTCCTTGTTTAACATAGGATGGCTTGTTAGACCCATTAAAATGGGGGGGAAATCTTTTTGCCTCAATATAAGTCATGGCCACAATCCATGACTTAAATGCTCTCAAGATCCATGGAACAAGCAAACAATTCATTCAAAAATATGCACACACATCAAAAGCTGAAACAGCATAAAATTAGGAACAGACTATCCAACCATTCATTTCCACAGCCTTGCCCCATCCTGGGTTTTACTTCCTGAGCACTTTGTTGCGTTCATACCCAGGTTTACAACATGTTTAGTAACAATAGCTTACTAAACTAAATCTGATTTTCTGAGCCTGTATGACACATCAAACCATAACCCAACCACAAAGAATGGTTCATTTACACAACTTGCTAAGCTAAGATGTGATTATCTAGTTTGTGTCGCAGTGTGTGATGCAAATCCTGCCACTAATAGTCTGTTTGGGCCTTATGACTCACCAGAGAACTGGTCAGATCGCAGGACTTCCTTCCAACATCTCTGTGTATTCCAGTCCCAACCTCTAAATCTCTGAGAGCATAGTGCCAATTCTGCAAGCACATAAAAAGCACCTCTCTTTAAACTCTTAAAGCAGCTGCATCTTCTTCCAGACTTCTGTGGCTGCTTCGTAAGCACTTTCCTCCTTATTGCTTTGCTGGGAACCCCCCCCCCAAGGCAAAGTAGTTGTTCAAAAACATACATGTAAGCAACTGACAGAAGCATCTTACAAAGCAGCTGCCCTGGAAAAAGATGCAGCTGCTTTAAGAATTCAAAGAGATGTGTTTTCTATGAGACTCAACATATTGCAAAGGATTTGTCCAAAGATAGTCCTTAACTTTCGTCTGTACAGGAGGCATGTCTAAAGCAAAAACCAGTGGAAAAGTCTTTCAGACTACCCAGCAAAAAACATTAGGTTGTAGGAATGTTGAAGGAGGAGTACTTCATATAGCCCTGTGCTCCTTATACATGTTTCGGAATCCTATTCAAGCCCGAATAGGACTTCAAGTGTTTCAGAGCATTAGAAATTGGCACCTAAATATTTACAAACTGCCTTTCCAGATAGATGGAGTAGATGGGGAGGGGAGAGATGGCTAATATACTAGGAACAGCATGTCACATTGCATCCCTGTGGCATCCTGTTGGGGAGGGCTGGGTCATCTGACTTGGGATGTGGAAAGCAAGATGTTTTGTGCCCATTTGCAGCTGTGTCCTCAAATGCCCAGAAGCTTGACTTTTCTACCCAATAACAGGGAGCAGAATAAAATTCCTGTGATCACTCACCTTTACAAGTGTTTTTGCACTACAATTTCAAGTAGAACATCTGATTCTCTTTGGTAAGAAACAGCTTGCAGTACTCAAGACATATTGATGCAACGGTAATACAAGATTAGTGAAATAAAACCCTCCAATCTAGGTGTGTTCTGCTTCTCAGGAACAAAGTAGGTATGATGTTACTACAGACTTTGCCCTTCCAAGCTTATTTGGGTCTTTTCACAAAAAGATGGCCTAGGAGAAGCAGTAAGACAGGAGGAGGGTTTGCAAAATATGCTTTGCCAATTGGAATAACCTCCCCTGCTTCTGAAGCCCCTGCTGCTAATCAAGCCATTGCTCCCGCTACCAGTAACCAGCATGGAAGCCTCTTCTGACTGGAACTGTGGCACCAGCCAAAGTTTTAAATCCCCCCTCCCTGCATTGTTTCAATATCCACCCTGACCATTTGTGAGGGGGAAAAAAAACCCTACACAAAGAGTTAAACCAGTGTTTTTTGAACTTGGCAACTTTAAGATGTATGGATTTCAACTCCCAGAATTCCCCAGCCACACCTTAAAGTTGCCAAGTTTGAAAAACATTGAGTTAAACTATAGCATGATATTACTTTTACATAAATACTTTATATAAGTATGTATTACAGTACAATCCTATGTGTCTATTAAGAAGTGTATGTTTACTTTCTGTTTTAAATACACATACTGATAAAAGCCCAAAAAGGAAGCCAACTTTGAATGATCTTGAAAAGCTACACAGGTCAGTATTTGGATGGGAGACCACCAGGAAATACCTGGGAAGTTGGAAAAACATCCTGGACAAAGCCAGTGACAAACTACGCCCATACTGTTGCTGAAATAACTTCAGGAATGCATCCATGAAAATTGCAAGAGGTTTTGTTTTTTAGATTTTCATTCTTCCTTTTTTACATAAAACTCAAGGTCACGAACATACCAATCCTCCTGCCTCCTATTCTCCCCACAACAACCACTCTGTGAGGTGAGTTGGTCTGAGAGAGAGCGACTGGCCCAAAGTCACCCAGTCAGCTTTCATGCCTAAGGAAGACCCAGAATTCAGTCTCCTGGTTTCTAGGCCAGCATCTTTTTTTAAAAAAAATTTTTTTTTTATAAAGTATTACAGTTATATAGTACAGATAAAAACTAATACAAACTACAAAAAATAAAAGAATAGAAAGAAAAAATAAAGAGTGCAGAAAAGAAAAAAGAAACAGAAGAACATAAAAGAATAAAGAAAAAATAAGAATATAACAGAAAAAAAATGGACAGAAGTAACCTCCCCCTTCATCTCAACAAGCATAAACAATTCTAACAACTTATCGCTTTCTCTTAAAATACAACAAATAATCTCTTCATCCCATATCACATCTCTTATCTATAGACAAATTCTTAAACCTTCCCTACAACCAAACTGGCTCAAAAGTTAAACCTGACCCCAATGATACTTTTCCTTTGCTTTCTGAAACTGCAATTGCAAGTATTATTTTCAAAGAACCCCATTTCTTAAAGCCAAAGCCTGCTGGGACACATGGGTACCTCAGCTATGCTTTTTTTCCTTTTATTTCCTGTTGGGAATTCTACACCTATCAAACAACCATTCATTCAATTCATACAATTTTGATTAAGTATGCAATCTTATGGTCCCTAAAGCAATGCCTCGGGAGCCTTAGGTCAGATCAGAGTTCTCTTTTTGATATCTAAAAGAGACCTGCAACTCTGGAGATGGAAATTTGACATTTGTTCTCTCTTCCTAACTCAGTACAAATAGTCGCAGCTGTTTTCAACTCAGGAAAGGAATGGAGAACTACCAGATTTGGCTGCTAGAACTGAGATAATTATGAGAAGGTAGCAAAAGAGTTTTTCATGTCTCTTTGCTGCCCTTAGAAAAGGGAGATGCTGTGGGTGAAATAGAGAAGGCTTGCAGAATTTCCCTTACAATGGGAGGAACAATATTGTCCTGATAGAAAAGTCCCCCCAAACAGAGCTTTACTTTTTCTCATAGAAATGAACAATTATTCATTGGCATGGGAGAAACCACAGAGTGTAAACTCTAAGGCCCCAAAGTGTTTGTGGATAAACCTGCTACGGGTGTGTTGCCTACTTCTAACTTGTGCTGCCAAACACTGTGGTTTACTTCTCTGTCTATAGCAAGAGAAGAAAGAAATTTTTGCCTCATTTGAAAAGAGCAAGGCCTTTGTGTAAATTACACCAGGGTGGAACATATGGAGGCTGACAGCAGCCCAGAACATCTGATTATTCTTCTGAGGATTTTTTACATGAACTAGAAGCTATTATAAAAACTGAATTTGGAGAAATAAAAAAGGTAGAAAAACAAGAATCATATTGTCTTCATATCTGATTAATTTACACAGTGAATATATTATAAGACTGTCAGGACTGGAAGAGATGACATAATCAAAATAGGGTGTTAAAACAGATACGCAGACAACAGCACTTTGTTAGTTTAACGAAGACTTAGAAAACATAATTATGAAAATACAAATGGAAAGTGAAACATCTAAGTTAATATTAATTATTATGAAACCAACAAAAGAAGTCAACCTGCTTACTTAGTGAACTTGCAGTTGATGGCGAAAAAGTCAAGGTGTTATTTTATTTCTTGAGCTCAAAAATAGATAAGCCTAGGCATGTACAGGAGAAATAAATAGAAGATTAATCCTAGGAAGCAACACAACCACAAACTTAGACAAGACCCTAAAGAATAAGAATAATGACAACATCGATTTGTTAAAGTAGTGGTCTTTCCAGTAGTAATGTAGGCTATGAAAGCTGGAGAAAGAATGAGAGAAAGAAGACAACACTTCCCAATTGCAAGAAAAACCAAACAATTTCACAGACTTTGGGCATGATTCAAGGGGATGACGGACTAGAAAAACTGACTGCACTTAGCGAAGCGGGATTAAATAGACCGCAGGGAGGACAATGTGCATAGAGGATCAAACAGATTCCTGGAATGTCCCTGGAAGAGCTGCCAGTTATTATCGGAACGAATCAACACAGCGAGCATTTGTCCATACCGTCACCAAGAGTAAAAGCCCACTCCACTCCACGGCACCGCACCAATTAACTAACACAGCGTCACTCCAGGTTTTGATCTTTTTCCCACTGCTGTATTTCGGGACAGAGGGGGGAAAAAAAAATCTTGTCCCAAGCAACGTTTCTCTCCCACAACCTACCTTTTCACCCTTCTTTCCCACACCTTCCGTACGGTTTTGCTCCCCAAAGCTTTCCCCCCTGGCGTCCCTTCAACTCCACCTCGCCTTCTTTCCCCCAAAATATCACTACCGACTCGTTCCCCCCACCAGGGGGCGGGGCCTTAACAGGGGAGGGGGGAAAAGAATCTCACCAGCTCCGCGGCGCGACCCCGACGAAACTCGACGGGAAAACCCGGAAGTGAGCTGAACCAGCGGCCGCGCTCACCAGGAGCGCGCCTGCCAACGTCACCGTGTCACTTAGAGCTTCAAAAACGGAAAAAGAATAGAGTGAACTAATCCTAACTTTCACCAGCTGTTTCTTTCTCTGAGATCGAGAACGGAAGCTTCCAGTGGAGAAATTGTATCTCAGTTTAATTGGGCAGTAGCGTTATTTTGCTTCCTCCTTTCTTAGATCCGTCGAAGACCAAAAAAAAAAAAATACTACTTCATACAGCATACAGTATGAATTCTGAAGTGTCCTGCCAACCAATGCCACGGAACGTAGCGATGGGTACAAAAATTCATGATTAGCCAAATTCACAAAGGATCAGCTATCAATGGCTCCTATTACCTTCAGTACCGAAGCGGCGTGTCTGCCTTTCAGTATCTATTGCTGGGGAATGCAGGTGAGAAGTGCCATTGCGCTCCCGCCCCGTTTGCCGCTTTTCATAGGCATACGCGAGATTTGCACTGACTAGCCTGTTTTTTTTTTTTTTTTAAGGTCAAATTATAGGAGGAAATCAACCCATTCCTGCCCTCCCCAGAAGAGCCATTTAGAATGAACAGGAATTTCTCCCTTTGATGGTTTTCAGGCGGCGGGAGAGAGGATTATACTAGGTCCCCCCATTAAAGTTCTGATTCTGTCCTGGACTTCTTTGTCATACTTTACGGAGAAAAAGCTCGTTTTCTGTGAGGCATCTTAGACATTATTTCTGATGGTCTGCACCCGCTAATCAAAAGGGATTAGGGCCCCACTCTAGCCACGAGAGTGTCTCTCTAATTCTTAACTCTGTGCATAGAAGGAGTGGTGGGCGGGGAAAAATAACAGCCTATCAGAGATCAGAGGCGCTAAAGGGGCAGGGCTTTGGTCGCGGCTGTTGGCTGAGCGGGGCACGTTCTTCGCTTCCGGGCGTTCTAATCTCTCCTCCCCGCTCCCGCCTCTTCCCGCCCCTTTTGTGGCGAGGATGAGCTTCGTGACGAGCGAAGAAACCAACCAAGCCCGCAACTCGGGGAGGAGAGTGCGGGAGTTACGCGATTCCCCCCAAATTGAGTTTCAAACATAGGGGCGCGGGGGACGAGATCTGTCTCGACACACGTCTTTGAAATTGTTGTTCCGAAAGAGTATTCCTGGGCGCGTTCAGAAAGCTGGCAGCTCCAAGAGCTGCCCTGAGAACTGCTTTCAGCAAAAGAGATCAGATGACATTAGCTGAGCTGAGCTATGCTGAGCGCGGGATTCAGTCTGAGGCCAAACTCGACCTGGATGAAACTGAACACGCTCTTAATGTCGTTGCTGCAATCTGGGTCCTGGAACATACGAATAAGAAGCAAGAAGGTGCTCACGATGCAGTGTCTTCCCTTCCTCACTGTTACAGGCTTCCAAGTCAAAGAATAGTTAGCAGGACAGTCTTGCTTTATAAAATGAAGCTCAGCTTCGACAATTTTTTTCTTCTTTCTTCGGGGAATCCTTATGCTTTTAAAAGATACCTGCCAGGCAGCAATACGGTACGCACAGTGAAGGAATGCTGTCCTTGATTTATAAAGCAAGACGACAGCAACCACCCAGTCCGGTTACAAAAAGATGTATCTAGTGATCTGAGGGGCAACTACAGCCTTGCTAAGTGGGCTAAGAGTGCCAGGTACTGAATTTTTGCTCTTCACGCAGACAATGTTGGGGACTGCCATCCTCTACTAGGCTAGATGATTGAAAGCATGAGAAAGTCACGGTCACCTCCAGCTCCAGTTGCCTTTTAGTTAATCGGCTTTTAATAATCTACTTTGATTGGGATTCAGGCTTAGTTTCAGGGCAGAAATGATGTAGCTGGATTACCACGGAGAAAAAAAAAGGGGAAAGTGATCCTATTGATTCTTGGACCACTTTACCCTGGATTTTCTTTTTGTTGACCCTCCCTGCCCCCCACACAAAGCCCCCTGCAATTCCATCTAAACCAAAGAATAGAAGCCTCCTTACCAGGTCAAGGACGACCCTAAGAAGGGAATTGCAACATAAGAACAAGGTGAAAAGAGAGCCAGTTTGGTGTAGCAGTTAAGACATCAGACCATGAGTTCTAGTCCTGCCTTAGGTACAAAGCCAGCTGGGTGACCTTGGGCCAGTCCCTCTCTCTCAGCCCTAGGAAGGAGGCAAGGGCAAACCACTTCTCCAGGCAGTCAGCAGAAGTCAACACTGACTTGAATGCACAAAAACAAAACAAAGCCCTTAAGGTGAAAAACTTCCATCTTCAATCAGCCTCCTTGCCTCAAGGTTCCATCTCCTTAACAATGGACTTTCCGACCTCTGCTGCCTCCCTGAAAGGGTCGCTTTGCCTAACAATAGAAATAACCCTAAGTACACAGACAAGACACAGACCCCCAAAGTTGCCAGCAAATCAGATTCCTAGGATTTTCCACCTTGCAGCCCTCAACTACTATAAAAACCTTTGATTTTCCATTGTTTGGGGATCCCTCTTTCTTGCAAAGCAGGCACCCAATAATTGTTGCAATAAACATGGTGCCTTCTCTGCTGTGCTCTGTACTTCTGAATTTTCCATGGCAAAGAGGACTTTTAAAAATTAACTAAGAGTTCCCTGTACCCGTGAATGATATATGTGCCAGTCTTGAAGCTTACAAAAACTTACTTCTGGTTAGAGAAGGCAATGTGAACAGTAATTTCTCTCTTCTCTCCAGATTATTGATTGACTGTTGCAGCACCTGTGGTCTGGAACAGCCTCTCCCCAGAGATCCATGTGGCTTTTTCATGACATTCAAAAATGTCATGAAAACTTGGCTGTTCCCCCAGGGCTTGGGGTAAAGTGATATTAAACCCCTCTGGAATTTTATCTGGAATTTTACCCAAATAAGTGTCCCTTATGATCTTTGCTTTCATTGTTTTGTTTTGTTTGCTTTTGCTGTAGTGTACAAGCTACCCAGATTCTTGTAGAATTGGGCAGCTTCTAAACTGAATAAATAAATATAAATGCTGTGCTGTGTGGACATTTCATTAAGCCAATAAATTAAGGAAATTGACATTATACTATCTCATTGTAGCCAAGTATTATGTTCCAATCATGTTCCCTGGAGCCCACAAAGGCTTTGCTGCAGCTCCAATATTAGCTGCATCAACCCCATGCATGGGACCAAAAATGGGAGATGATGTGATAGCTAATTTATGAACATATATTCTTTGCTAAAGGCTTTGAAGCCAATCCAAGAATCTAACCCTTTTCTCCAAACATTAACTACAGGGATTAATAATACCCTTAAACTGATCCAAGACAAACTTTTTAGCCTGGAGAGGCCCAGGAAATTACAGTACTTGCTAGTCACAGTGTTTTGAATTATCTTAATCGTTTTCCAGATTCTCAGTTACATAGGAAAAATCTATCCCTAATCCAAGTAATCTGATAGAGTTTATAAAAAAAGTTTTTAGAGTTCTTTCACTGCTAGCTGATTTTTCAAAACTGAAATTGAACATATTAACAAAATCCCCATTATGAAAAGATATTATTGTTCAGTTTCTGTGAAGATGTTTTTGTACAGATTTAGACAAAATCTTGGTTGGAATGAGATCCTAAGTAGAACAAAATATCCATCTGTCTTGATTTCACTAAGGGGATAAATCAAAAAGCTTTAATAAAGCACATGCTCTTGCTAAATCTGTGAAGTTGCAAAATCTTATACACTTCCCTTCTATGGTTTGCATACACTATTGGGGTAAATGAAAACATTTCAAATCCTACCCACCACTGAGGCTTTTCTAATGGAACTTCTGTTTTTCTAGATGCTTAACTCTGTCTTCAGGCAATGAAGTGATGATGGACAATATCACTTCTATCATTATCATCAGTTTAAAATATTTTTTTTTCAAATCTTTAGCTAATGACTGGGCATACTGCCAAGTAATGTCTATCTTCTTCACAAATATGCATAACCAGTCCAACCAACATAAAAAATCAGGAGGCAGGGACTTGATTGCATGGTTATGGCTGCCATTTTAACTTTTTTCATATCCCTGACTAACCTCTAATCCTGCCAAGTAGGTTTGATTTTTTAAAAAAGGGAAGCCAAAATGACTGTGTAACCTCCCACTTCTACCTTAACTGGAATGGTCTCTCTCTTGATATCTATGAGACATCCCCAGACATGGTTCTTAGGCATCTACTGAACACTTACCACTTTTCCTAGGCCTTTACTATGTGAATGTTGCCTTTCCGCCTTCATTTTTAATATGCGTTTTATTATTTTTCATTGTAATTGGTAATGTTCTCTTTCAATCATGTTAATTTTCCTTGTCTACTCCTTGCGCAGTGTAAAAATAAATAACAAAATTGCTTCAGTTTGTCTGTGGCTTCTGCTATAAATACAAAGGAAGTGCAAATACATATGGTCTTTCCAACTCTCCCACAGCTGCAAGAATGTTTGTTGGGGTATGGCTCTTTATCATATTATAAACCCAGACGCCACTGCAGACCCCATGCATTAGCACGTGCCTTTAGATCAATAGCTGCATTTTTAAAAGAGCAGCAGCAGCACAGCAGTGCCTCAGAAACAGACAAGGTTCCCTTGTAGATTCCACTTTGACATCATGGCAGCTTTTGATACCATCAACCCTTCTGTTGTTCTGGACAGGCTATACGAGTTGGTTACTGGAGATTAGGCTTGAACTTGTCACATTCTTGCTTGGATGGTTAATTCCAGAGGGTGGAATTAGCAGACTCCCATAAAGAATTTCCTCCTTTCTTCCATCCTAATTTTTATTTACAGGAAACTACTGAGAGAGATCATCCAGAGATCGTTTGAAATACCACCAAGGGTGGGCGACATTTTTATCTTTTTCTCAACAAAGACAGAGAA